TTTTAACAGGACATAGGAAACTAAGAATCAGAAAAACAAAGTGTGCTAACATTGGAAGTATGCATGGCAGCTTACTTTTTTTTGGCCAGCCAGACCTGCTGTACAGAAATAACAGCACTTGAAAAGTTCAGGCAAATGCCAGCATTGATTTCTTATGTTCTGACACCATGGGAAAAATATGTCTACCTAATACACACTCAAATTGTGGAGGCAGCGAGAGGCAGAATATCAGTATACATGTTATGCTTTGAAAGTAATTCATCGTGAGCATCATATCTTGAGTAAAAGAGAGTGGTCTTATGGGGAAACTAATTAAAAAACATTCAGTTTGCATAAGTGCACTTTCTGTGTGCCCCTGCTTGCTTCTTTTAGACAAGAGTGAGGGGTCCTGTCATCAGCATAAATATTTGTTTTAATTTGCAAAGTAAAGTGTGGATGGTCATGACTAAAACGAAAATGGAATCAGAAGGTCCTGCAGGTTACTTGCACCATAACAGCTAGAAGCACCAGCCCCAGATCAGAAGAGCCACACTGGAAATTAATGTATAGAGCAAAATCCCAGTCCCTTCTCTAGTGAACTCAATAGGATGAGTACAAGGAAACAAATGTAAGATGTTGCTATTAAAGATGTTTTCAAGCCTTGAGACCAAATCACAGTCTAGAACACACATATAGATCAAAAGCCTTTAGAAGCAAGTTTATTCTGTGCTACCTGTAAGTTAGCACAAGAGAAATTTTCTTAAGAAATTTTGCTCTGATAAACTTTGTTTAGAAGGAGATGCTGGCAGAAGTTACTCCACAGGTGATTTATCCACACTCAGTGCTGCAGTACAAGACGCAGAACTTTCAGGAACAGAGTAGAAGGACCATGTAAGGAAAGCCTGACATGTTATTTCTTTGGTTATTTTGGCTTCGTACAAATGAGTGCTGCATAACAGGAGGAAAGCCAAGAATATCTGAAAAGGAGCTGCAGAAGAATGTAGCCATGTATTTTTCTTGTTTCATTGCAGTCCTCTGTTTCTAATTATAAGCCAGCTGCTGAAGTGACTTCATTCGATAACTGTTTTGATTTGATCCTGTCTAACACTTTAGTCTCAGACTCACAGTTCCCAAACTCCAGTCATCTATGTAATCCAAAAGCAATATGATTATAAAATATTATATATGTCCCTTTTTTTCCTCTAGACAAAAAGAACTCTTAAAAAAAGCACCTAAAAATGCAATTTCATTTTTTTCAAAGTAAAACTTGGCTTTCAAGTAGAAGAAGAAAAAGGATTTTTATATATTGCAACCTTCATTCATAAGCATGTTTGTATAATTTTGTCTTTTATAGGCATATCAGTACAGTAAAAAGCAAACACTTTGTATTTCAGGTATACAAGAAATCTTGTGGACAATGGAAATGGAAAGTTCAACTTGATGATCTTGTGCTGGGGTGAAGGACATGGCAGGTTTGTATCCAAAGACTATGGTTTTAGCAAACAGATACAAAGCCACTGTATCTTTGTCGTACAAAAAGACACAAATAATCAGCCTTATGTGAGTTATAAGAAAATGTCTGGAAACTAAGCAGTGCAGACCTCCTATTGGTATAGCTGTTCTGAATATTTGCTATGTCTTTTGCAAGTTTGTACCTCAAGGACATTTTTATAGCACACTTGTGAAAACACTCTGGTTTTCTACGAAATCTAAGCTTCCCTTCTGTCAGAGGAAGTTTTTAGTCCCAGAGATGGAGTCCTGCAGTCCTGTCCCATACAACAGACACATACAGCACTTCATTGCAGAAGCAGGATTTGGTGCTGTTTAAATAGTCATTGTTCTCTCCTGGTGTTTAAATCCTACCTCCGTGCCAAGATGAGAGAAGTAGGTTTGGGTTAGGACTGCAGGCTTTGAGGAAGGTGCTCCTTTCCAGGAGTACTTGGCTTTCTTTAGGTTCATGCACCCCATCTGCTCCCTCAAAACAGACCACACTCCTGTGCACATGGCCCACAGTTGTGTACACAGACTTTACACTGAGTTGCATAGTCCTGCAAACGTGAAGACAGGATCTGTCCCTTCAAGGGTATTTCACAAAATATTGGCTAAAACAAAATACGGAATAACAAAACTTGCAGGTTTCAACTGATTCTTCTTGCATATAAATAGAAAAACTAAGGAGAGGTCAGAGTTTTGTTTAACTGAGCATGCAATTGAACATTTACAGTATGCTCTAGGGGATGCCATGATGTTCTACTCAGAGGGATATATGAACCAAATACACCACCTCTGCTTCTTCCAGGCTGTTCCCACAAAGCCTGTAATTTATGTCAAACTGTGTTTGAGTTGGATGAGCATTTGCTAGAGCCAGACTGAGACCACAAGTTGGTTTTTCTTCCTACGTGAGGAGGATCAGATTGTTCTCATGGCTTGTGGAAGGAGCATGACAACGTGGCATTTGTGAACTGTTCTGTGCCTGAAGCAAGCTCTGCTCTCTTGGCATCTCAGTGAGTGAGAAACCCTGGCATTTGTTTACTGAAAACAGTAATGTATGCATACCAGGTTTTTGACTGCAACTCATTAGCACTGTACTTCTGGGAGGGTCAAATTTCCCCTTCTCCCTCGCCCCCCATGAGTGGAGAGCTCTCCCTTTGTCCTAACCCTACTGACAACAGCCAGTTAAAAAAAGCCAAACCAAAACAAAACCCAAAAACTAAACTACATATCCAGCTCATATGTCTACAAATGTAGCAATTAAAACATACTTCAGAGCAAAGAGACAGATCGAGCAAGGAGACACGTCAAGCGAACAGCCTAATTGTGCCAGTTCCTGCTGTTTTGTTCATCTTTTGCCAAACTAGTGAAATTACAGCTTAATGTAGCTGGTTGTACTTAGCACTATCAGTGTGAGAGGTACAATATTTTTTCTTCAACAAATGCCTGTGCACCCCTGCAGTAAAAAGACCATAGAAATTAAGCAGAAGTAGCTCATTTCTCCCATGTTTCAGGAGCGAGCATGGTAGATCTGCAAGTATCAGCTATACTTGCACAGTTATACCAGTCCCTACCCAGGGTCACTGTGGAAACTGTTGTTCTATTTCTTGGCCCACAAGTGGTTTTGTGTTCTGAAGAATTTTTCTGTCCTCCAGACTTTGTATTTCTCTGTGGCTGATTAATCTCTGACTCTGCTCCAAGTCCTGCTGTATGTGAGGTTATCCAAGTACATTTCTAAAGTAGTAGTTTTAAGTAGGCATACCCTAGTTAATGTTGGGGGTTTTTTTCTAAGACTTTTATGCATGACCTGTGTGCAATGGCATTTTGTTCTAGGGCTATGCCCAGATACAGTATGCCATGCCATCTGTCTTGTTTGCTGGACTGAAATTAAGTATGTACATCACACTGAGTTTGTTTGTTTGTTTCACATACATAGCAGCATCCATGATCACACTGACTCGCACTGCTTTATGAAGATCCTTCAGGGAAATCTAAAGGAGACTCTGTTTGAATGGCCTGAGAAAAAAGGGAATGGTGAAATGACTAAGAAATCAGAACGAGTTTTGAGGGAAAATCAATGTGCCTACATTAATGGTAAGCTATCAAGCTTGTTTTGACAACTACCCATCCATGAGTCTTATTCCTAACAGAAGAGTTCATCTGCTCTATAGTCTCCTATCTCCAACAGTATAATATTAATGCTTTATGCGCAGTTTAAGAAGGTGGCTCTCTAGATTCTGCATAAATCTATATTTAGATTCAGTAAAACAAACTGCAAAAATTGTCCTTTTAATTCACTTTTAGGACATTGCAGCAATTGCTTGCTCCTTAAATATGCTGGGTATCTCCTCTAGACCAAGCAGCCTTCAGCACCGTGTCCCTAATGACTATCTGAAATTGCTTGTAAACATACATCTTAACTAGTATTCTGTGACAAAGAAGGGAACCAATGTGTAGATAGGTTAATCACTTTGTTTTGTTTTGTTTTTTTTCAATGAAATAATCCTCTTGGTCCATCATGGAAATCCTAGGTCAAAATTGTAAAAGCTGCCTGTGGAATAAATTGACCAGCCAGGAGTGGAGGCCCCAATCCTCAGTGCTACTTCTTGTCCATATCAACAAAAGCAGTGCTGAGGTGCAGCATCAGCAGAACAGAAGTGCTCAGGTCTACCCAATCTACCAAAAAATTGCCTGACTAGACAGATGCTGAGAGGCAACTAAGTCTCTACCAGTGAGGCTCCCTAGTTACTTAAACTTTATCCATTATAAGTGTCTGCAACTATCACCACCTTGTGCTGTGCTGGGGGCCATCCTGGAAAGGCCAGCTGGGTGTAACATATTCTGATACTATGAAAGACATTGCACATCATGCTGAACAGCAATGGATTCAGCAGAACAAGGCAAACCATCAGAGAAGGGAGCTGCCTGCCTTTTCTATGACGAGTTAAAAACTGGAACGCACATCTTGTGGGGCTGAGCTTGGGGGTAACCTCACGTTGGGTTAGGGACTAAGCCAGGGTGCAGGCACTGGGGAAGAAAGACTAATGCTGTGCAGCCCTGTGTTGAAGGTATGTCACATTATGTGAAAACACAAAATCCACAGGACAGGAAATGCAAGAAGGAGCTTGACACATCTACTGATGCTCCCGTGCAGGGGTGTGGGTCAGGCCTTCCTACCTATGCGGTTCTTTCCAGTGGAAGCAATTGAACCCTGTGTGCATCTGATCCAGAGCTTCCTTGGTTGTTTTAAACAAATTTGGTATCCAGTTCTCTAAGGCAGTTGGGATATCTGCCGTGTTTTATAACAGATGTTTTGGTTTAAAAGAAACAGTAGAAGGAAAACACTGACAGTGTGTTGATTGCCCTCACTACTTGAGTAGTGAGTGACCTTCATGTTTCTATTGAATGCTTCTTGGTTGCTCTTCTACTTTAAGGTTAGAACTCACTAAACAGTGTTTATTTGAGTCTCCCACTAGATGAGCACAGATTTAAGACTTTTTTTTTCCCTACGTCCTCTGTTTAGATAAACTATGATAACAACACTTAGGGCTTACACTTCAAATGTATCAGAGTTAAAAGTGTACTCATGATTCTCAGGGTATCATGCTACATTGCACAATGCAGGTCTAGGTATTATAAAGTATATTAATTCAAGTACAAAGGCCTGAGTTGTTTGTACAGCAGGGTCATAAATTTAAATTCAAGGCCTCTTTTATTAAGTAACTAAAAAACTCCACTCAAGCATAAAATTGAAATGGTTTGTTTTATGGACGTGGTTCTTTATACCTTATATTTTTGTGTAATAGCTTGATTTCTACTCTACCATTGCAGAAAGTGCCATTACTTCATTAGTGACCACACAACAAACAGTGCTTTGTTTTATTAGGTGTTCAATTATACTTACTATTCAGTTAAGGTTGGAAGTATGTCAGTCACTGCTAATTTGTCACCTCAGTCAAAAGAGCAGACAGACTGAAAGTCTGTTCTCCTAACTAATAAACTGGAAGGGTTAATTATGAAACAGATGCCTACACTAGAAAACAGCTATATCTCTGTCCATAAGTCCATGCCCCAGATACACATAGCTGACTTGTTATGTGACTGATATCCTTATAACTGGGCTAAAAATTAGCAATACAAAAACTTATCTGTAAAAAGTCTTCCTAATTTTTAGAAACACAAATGTTCCTGCTTCTGGAGCATCTGTAACAACAGCATATCCTAGGAAAGTAAACAACCTTGAAGTCCTTTGGGAATGATAGCTAGAAAATTACTACCTTTATTAAGTTTCTCTGGATTTCTATTGGCCTTTATCCTGTAGCAGGTAATCCAGAAGTTACAGGAAGTGTGGAAGGCAATAATGTATTCTGAATTACTATTATATTTAGGAATCTATGCTAGAGAGCAACAGTCAGATTTCCCGTACTGAGTTACTTGTTGCCTATAAAAGTGTGGGCATGCCTAACTGGCTTGCTGGTGAGTTCTGGTTTAGAATGCATTTTTCCAGGCATCTGAGATCTTGTTAAATCATCCTCCTAATACAACCTCTTGTTATGCTTTCACTGGTGTAGACTCCATTGGCCTGCACCGCGTGGAGAACATAAGCCACACAGAGCCTGCTGTCAGCCTGCATTTGTACAGCCCACCCTTCGATACCTGCAACACCTTTGATCAGAGGACTGGACACAGGCACAAAGTCAAGATGACTTTCTACAGCCAGTTTGGAGAAAGGACTCTCTGTGTAAGTACAAGATAACACGCTCGCTGCCCAGCCCCTGCAGGGAGGGGTGCGAGGGGCTGCCCTCTTGCCTGTGCAGGGCAGAGCGCCCGTGCCCCAGGACAAGGCAGGAGGTCCAGCAGCAACCCCTTTCCTGCGGCTTTCCTGTCTAGGGCCAGCATAAAACCTGTTTCCAAATACTGCTTGATTTGTTGATTTTCACTTCCCTGGCATGGAGTTCCCTGCTTTGTAGCTTGCCTCCTCTCCATCAGCAGGTCAGTTCTCAGCAGATTGTGCTGTTAGCTAAGCATCTTCAGGGCAGCAGCAAATAATGGTAGATGCAACCTAGTCAGTGGAAAACTGTGAAGCAGCTACGTTGTTTTGGCCAGCTTAAGTCATGTGTAACATTTCCTGGCTAAACTGTTCTGCCAAAAAGCATCGTATTTCAAGTCAGTTCTTTTAAACCCTGTAGCTTACTATAAAGTAAAGAATTATTTAATAAAGTTAATTGAATTCTTTAAAATAAAAGCTTTGACACAGAAGGATTTGCTCTCAGAATCAGAGTAGGCTGGTTGGCTGCTATCTGCATTCTTGAGCAATGGCATGAGATTTTATTTGGACAGAAAAGAAATCTTAAGATCAGCTTTGGGGAACCAAGCTAGGACATCTGGGAGAATTTATTAGAGTTCCTTTTAGTGCTATTGCATGCATTGGGAAACAAAACTACTTATATGGGGAGAAAAGACAGATTCTTGATCTTCAGCCACAGAGGTTCAAAGACTGTTTGGTTTTGTTAGGTACAGAACATTCTCACCTTTCACTGAAGCTGGAAATACAGTGCTCAGGAGTTTCCTGGAGTGAGCTCTTAGTAAGATCCAGTTAAAGTTTTATATAATCAAAAAGTACCGTGTAAATTATTTCTTTGAAGTGTGTGATTACAACTTTACCAAACAGCTGAAGCACAAGCTTTGACCTTCCCACATTTGAAAGGTCCTTGAGAAAGTAAACTCAAATTTATAATTCAGATTTCAAAGGGAAACAAACATGGAAAAATATTGAGAAAAATTCACACAAGGATTCTGTGTTTGCTTGCTTTTTGTCTTGAGTATGAAGTACGTAAGAACAGGCAAGACAAGATGTTTTGACTTGGACTATTTTCCTAACCTCGATATGTAACCATCTGTCAGTGTTTGTACGTTTTGTGGGAAACTGGATTTGGCTGACAGGAGAGAGGTAAATCTTAATCATTGGATCTCTTTCATGAATTCCTGTAAGTGAAATTCTAGTAAGGAGGAAAGTGGTAATGAGTCTGGGCCATCCAATTGCCTGAAATGACATCATGCTACAAAAACCTTCTGGTCTCAGTGAGGGTTTCTGGAAAGCTGACTGGAAAATCAAACTTTCTTCTGCTTACCAGATCTCAAAAGGGTGTAGGAAGACAAAGCCATAAGATAAAACCACCAAAAGAGTAATGTAAAGTATACTTGTGTATCTTTTATGAGTGAAAAGATCTGCGTAGCTAAAGCACATTCAGTGCTTCCTCTTCTTAATTTTTTCTGCAGGTAAAACACACAGGTAAATAAATCCCTAATCACTTCTGGCCGTGACAAAGTATTTAATTAACTAAATCTCCAGTAAATACATAATAAGTTATATAGGCCTAATAATTAAAATATTATGTAGTATGTCCAAAGACTTGCCTGTGGAAGTAACTGTTTACACACTTCAGGTACAAATCATAAGAATACTGATGTAAAACTTCACTTAGGGAAAACTGATTTTGTCTTGGAAGTCACAGCACATCAGTTCCTGCTGCTGAGAATTTTGCTGAGGGAGGTGGTTTCTCTTTGCAGCCTGTCTTCCAAGCAGTTTCTGTCAAAATGAAGTAGAGCAGAGTACTGAGGGAAAAGATACCCTGAAGGAAGAAGCACACCTCAGCTGTTCCTCTTCTACTGCGGTCATGGTCACACAGAGGCAATGGACAGGGTAATTTTGTCAGTGCGCAGTGCCTCTATAAAACTCTGGCAAGGAGTACTGAAAATAAAGACACTAAGTATTTTAAGGTCCTGAGCTACTCCTGACATAAAGGCCCATGCTGTGAACATGAAGTAGATAGTGGCCATCTCTTTCCTTTAAACAGCAACCTGTCCTCTTTCCTTTTAGGCAACAGCAGTGCCGCAGGAGAACAACTGAGAAGCACCAGCGCACGTTTGCGTAAGACCTGCTGAATGTTTAACCAGGGACAGAAGACTTGCATGGCTAAGGCCGACAGCCAGCTTTATTTCTATACCTTGTACACAGAAGTACACTAGGGCAGCTTCCAGGCCACCCACAG